TTATTATACTTAGGTAAGATCTAAGAAGTATAGGCTAGTAATTAGGTAGTAATAAATTTATATTAACTATAGATATAATAATATAGGTATTCTAACTAATATAATAATAGTAATATATAAGCGCTTAGATATATAGTTAGTAGTTAGGTTTATAGCTACTTCTTTCTAATATATACTAACCTACTAAAAGTATCTTTTCTCTTCTTAGTCTTATTATTACCTTCTTTCTACTCTTCTATTTCTATAACTATTATTTTGTCTTCTTCTAAACTTTTGCTTATATAACTATAAATATTTCTCTTTTCTATAATAATAATATTTTGTAGCTTATATAGAGTTTTCTTTAGTTAAAGTAGTAGATAGTTAGACTATGTCTATTCTCTATTAATAGATATAATAGTCTTATTTCTTTTATAATTATCTTATTACTAGACTTTATTAGTAATAGTATTAATAAGTAGACTAAGTATCTTATTCTATATAATCTATTAAATTATAAGAAACGTATACCTAGAAAGATTACTCTTAGTAGGCGTTACCTTCTAAGTATTATCTTTAGCTAGTAGAATATAGTCTTTTCTTCTAATAGTAATAGATACCTTATTAATAACTAGAGCTATAGTTAAACTTATTAGCTTTATAGTTTTAATAATAGTTAACTAGTATTATCTTAGCCTATAATTATTAGAAGGTAGTTTAGGTAGCGCCTAGTCTAGTAAATCTACTCTTTTATATAGTTTCTTATATTATACATAAACGTTAGCTCTCTAGAGCTAGTCTCTAGCTATCTATACCTACTTAAAACTATTCTTAGTACTAGGTCTTAACTCTAGAATAATATCTTAGAACTATAAAAGATTCTTTCTCTCTATCTAGTAAAGGCTAAGTTTATTAAGAATAGCTTCTAAGAAAAGTTAGTATTCTAAGAACTTTAGAAGCGTTAGCTACTTCTAGCTATCTAAAGTAACTAGAAAGCTTTCTTATTTCTATAGAGAAGGTAGAATAGTAATAGAGAATATAGCTATAGATAGTAACTCTTAGACTTACTAGCTTTTGTTAGAGCTTAGAGCTTACTAACTATAACTAGAAGAGAACATTTAAAATAAGGTATAGAGTAGAGTCTAGTTCTAAATCTATATAGAGATTAGTAAGTTAAAGTAATAGTAGAAAGAATATAGTACTATAGAAGTTTATTTACTAGTATAGTATCTATAGTAAAGACTTCTCTATCTTCTATTCTTCTACTAGTCTTTCTCTAGATCTTTTATAAACTTATATTTATAGAATAGATCTAGATATACCTCTAGTCTATTAGCGTCTCTAGTAGATAATAATAAATTAGTAGAGCTATTATTAGAGAGTTTAAAGTTACTATTATACGTATATAATAAGTGTACTTAACTTATACTAAGAAGAGATTCTCTAGTAAAACTATAGAGTTTAGAAAGTGTTAGTAATACAAGGTAAATAGAGTTACTAGAGTAAATTAAAGAACTAATAAATTCTTATAGATAAGAATACGTATCTATCTATTATTTATTAGAAAGTTAGAGTTTATAGTAGTAATTAATTAGAACTAACGTATTGTTTGTATATTAGAGTATAATAGATAATCTTATACACCTAGATAAGTAGATAGCCTATTCTTTCTCTAGCTAGCTTAATATTACTTACTCTCTTTTATATTAATAATTAAAGCTATAATAAGCTTTTATTACAAGTAGCGTATTAATATAAAGTTAGTTAAGAATATTAAAAGTTATCTTCTACTTATTATAGAATAGATAGTAGAGTTTCTTACTTTCTAAAAGCTATATAGTATTCTTATAACTAATCTTAGTAAAAATAGAGTTAATATAGAGCTTATTAGAGGTTTATATACGTTTTTACATCTCTTTATTATAGAAAACGCTTTTAAGTAGTTTACTAATAAACTTTATCTAGGTTCTAACTATACTACTATAGATAGTAGGTTTATTATTAATCTACTACATAATTTTCTATACAAAGACTTAATATTAGCGCTAAAGTAGGCTAAGAAATAGTTAAAACACCTAAAGCTAGAGCTACTTTAGATATACTAATTTAATATAAAGATAGGTATTATTAATCTAAAGCTAGGTTAATAGGCTCTATTCTTTATAGTAATAGTTTCTAAATTTCTAAAATATCTTTATATTATTCTACTACGCTGCTAGTTTAATCTTAATATAGTAATTTACTAACGTATAAGAACTAGAGTGCCTTTACTACGTACTAATTAAGAGATTATATTTAATAATCTTTTAGCGCTCTTTACTATACACAAAGATTAAGTTTATAATACTCTTACTTTTATTTTTTATACCTTACAAAGTAAGGTAATTTATATTAACCTAACTAATAGAGTTAAATTCTATAGCTAGTGTATACCTAACTCTAATATAATAATATATAACCTTTTTAAAGTTTATTTAAAATTATAGAATTTATTAAGAAATACTATTAACTAGTTATTAGATTTCTTAGAAGACGTACCTAATATACGTATTACTTTTAATTCTATAGAGCTACTAGTGTATAATATATTTCTTATTAACTAGAAGAAAAACGTATTATATAATATAGAGTATAAGTATACTATACAAAGAAGTAATATAAAGTTTAATAAAGAATAGATTAATTCTAAGTTTAACTAGTACTTTCTCTTCTACTAATCTAAAGATAACTTAGTTATCTACACTTACTATAATAAAAATAATCTAGACTTAATAGTTGCAGACTCTTATATAATTAATATAACTAAACCTAGTAGTAGTTTATAATTTAATAACGCTATAAGAGTAAATAGTTATATAGTAATATTAAGGCTTTATACTAAATAGAATAGTATTACTAACTATAATTCTATAGTACTAAAGAGCTTTAGCGATAAAAGTTCTAGTAACTACACTACTAGCGTCTCTGTAGTAGAAACTTAGACTAGTCTTTTATTTTATAATAAAATTAATAAGTAATATTATAAACTAAGCTACTATAGCTATATTATTTTATATAATTATCTATATAGTAACGTAATAATAGTTAAATATACCTAGCTTACTAAGAAAGTAGAAAGATATAAGACTAGTAGTATACTCTCTATATCTTTAGTAGGTAGTACGTAGACTAAAAGATATATTATAATAAGATTTCTTTCTTATTATACACTAGTAGACTCTAAGTTAGCTAATAAAAAGTTAATATTATAACTTTTTAAGCCTACTATAACTATAAACTAGAATTCTTCTATCTATATAGCCTAAGACTTTGTCTATATTATAATAACTAAACGCATTTCTATTCTAGGTAAAATTTCTAGCTTAGATACTACTATTCTTCTTCTATCTACTAAAATAAGTATTTTACTAGACTTAAGAAATTATAAAGAATATAATATAAGAGATTTACTAAGGTAATAGACTTACTCTTAGCTTTAAGTGTTTAGTAGAGATCTTTAAGATAGTAACTTCTAGTTATTACTACTTAATTACTCTTTCTTAAAGAATAGCGTAAAGCTTCTAAGTAGACTCTATAACTTTAATAATAGTTTAGTATATTAATACTTTTGCAATCTCTTTAAGTAGAGTAATTCTAGTATACTTATAACTATTTATAAGCTATTAGATATTCTATAGTAGTAATAGAATTATAGAAATCTATAATTAATAAATAACTTCTTTCTTTATCTTATATACTAGTAAGTTATAACTTAAATATTTCTCTCTATCTTTTACTAGAGCGTGTCTAGCTATAATCTAGATATTTTACTAACTCTTGCTAGACTACTATAGCGTATTTTAGCTAGCTAAAGTTATCTATATAAACTCTAAATAAGCGCTTTTATTATTAAATACTAGAAGAAATTCTAGAAGAAGCATAATAAGATCTAATTAATAAGAAAAAGCTAGAAATATATTCTTCTTAAACGCTTTACTATATATTACCTTATAAATAAATCTAACTTTAGAATTATACTATAAAATCTAATTATATTATCTAGTCTTACTATAGGCTTTAAGCTCTATTATAATTACTATCTAAGTAAAAAGAGCTATAGATTTCTCTACTCTAATCTTATATACGTATTATCTAATAAAAACTATAGTTATAGAAAGTGCTATAAACGCTAAGTAATAGACGTAAAGTTTATTTTTTATATAATTATACGCTTCTTATATAAACTTATATAAGAACTCTATATATTTACTATATTCTAAGCTTATATTCTATATTATAAGTGTTAGAAATCTAAAGAAATATATAATAATAAAATAGAATTATATAATAGATATAAAGAGATATAAGCTCTCTGTAAGAGAAAAGCTTATACTACTTACTATAAGAATAGAGATAAATAGTTTTACTCTTAGAACTATAACTAGGTATATTATAATAATAGCTATACTAACGTTATTTTCTATTCTAGAAGTAGAGAAAAGTATAACGTATAGTAAGTAGCGTAGAAAGCTATTATTAGAGAAGATACGTGTATTACTATATACGTTAAATATTAGTATAATATAAAAGATTATCTATATACTAATAATTAAGTCTATTCTCTTTATTAGCTATAAATTAATTAGAGTAAAAAAGTAGTATATAAATAGCTAAGATATAATAAGTTTATTACATACTCTTAGAAGAAGTGCACGCTTACTTATACTACCTAAGCATTTAACGTAAAAAACCTAGATAGACAGGTCTTTTCTTAACTAAGAAGAGGTAAGTATATAGTTCCTTAGTTCCTATATAATTAGTAGTATTTAAATTTAACTTTTACTTTCTTAACTATTTACACACTTTGTACCGCCACCTTATGGTCTATGGTCTCCGTGGGAGGTCTGATACGCCCCAAGTGATGGTTCACTCATACTACGTTTGTGTATAACGCGCTTATGTGGTACAGCTGAGTTGGGTGATGGGAAGCTTGTGATAAGTTCGCTGCACTGGGTGAGTTAGACGCTGGGCTCTTAACACCGTCAGCGCGCACATACCGTAGCTGTCCGCGGTAAGACCAAGTTTGAAGAGGCCCCCGCACTCATGAGATCAGCTCCGGTTGCGTAGTCATCCTTATGCGCCACCTCATATAATGTTGCTGGTATGTCGAGTTCGCGTGAGTTTCTTGGTGCCATGAGGACGCGGTCCCGATCGCGCGAGGGAGCCAATGGGGAGATAGCAACCGGGGATCCTCCCAGGGCAGTCACAATATGACCTTCGTCTATAGCAGGCGAGATAACACTGGCGCCATCGAGCTCTGGTGTGATTGGCGGGAAATATGAGGGGATAGGTGTAGCTGTTGGCCTGGGAGAACATGCTTCAGATTCCAGATCGCTCGTCCGGCCGTAAGCTTCCATTTGCGCAGTGATCTTCTTCAGCTTTCGAATGTCGCTCTTGTAACCTTTGATGTCGAGCTTGAAGAGAATGATTTCCCTAACGTAGAAGTCGATCTCCTGTCGCAAGCTCTCCATCTGCACATCCGGAGTATCGGCAAGAGCCTTTCCCTTCTGTTTAGATTGCTCCCTCCTCAAGCGCTCGTGGAGCCTATCCATCCACCTATCGATGTCTTCCCGTCTTGCAATGGAGGCAAGCTCCGGCCAGCTGTCTTCCCCTTCCCCAGCCATGTGAAGCTTCATTGCCGCATGCCGTCTGATTTCAGCCTGCAACAAGAGTTTGTGATGCTCCAGCTGCCTTTCCACTGTACAAATGACCCTGTCCTTCTCCTCAATTACGGATTCGCGATTCAGGATTGCGGCTCGAAGTCTTTCCATATGCGTGTCTGGGTGGTGTGTGCCTGAACGACTGGCAGTTGTCTTGTGCTCCTGTTCTAGCTCGCTGTGTGCCCGTCGTAGCTGTTCTCGCTCTTTCTCCAGTTTCGCAATGCGATGATCTTTCTCCCTGACCTGGTCTTGCAGACGCTCAATGTGCGCAACAAAAGAAGCTAGCGTTGCGTTCTCTTGCGAGTCAAGCTCTGAACTGATCGGCGAAGCACTCGAGAAGACCGTACTCATACTCATACGTCCATCGGAAGTTGGGTGGCTCGTGCTAGGTGGTCCTTTTGAGATGAGGTCGAAGGGTGATTTCCCATTCACTAAATTCGAAAGTTGCTCTTCCGCGTCCAGTCGCTCAGTGTTGGCGATCTCGAGACGGCTCTCGAGATGATCAATAGTGTTTTGCAGAGCCTGCGTGGATTTGGCAAGCTTGTCAGCGTGCGCTGCCTTGTCCTCGAACTCAGCACATCTCATCTCGGTCAGTCCTAGTGTTGAACGAAGCTCTCTCTCGCTTTTCTTCGATTCGTTCAACTTCGCCATCAATGATTCGATCTGCTGTTGGAGAGCGACATTGTTTTGTCTGTACTGATTGAGCTCTGGGAGCAGGTTCCGAGTTGTCGTTTCTGGCCGACGTGTGGCGCTGAGCTTCCGCTTCAAGCTCTCCTGACAGTCCAAATTAGCAGTGGGTTTCAGAAGGAGAGCAGGTGTATCATTACCATCTCTGGGCTGCTTTCTGATCGCCGGTGTGAACGCTGTTTGCTTTCAAATTCGATCGGACAGACAAAGTCGGGGTCTTTCGTAATCGGCGGGGTTTCGCGAATCGACGTGTGTGGCGGCTCAGCGCTATCCGAGACAAACGAAGTATTATTCCTCGACGCTAGACACGTTTAGCATGCTGAACTGATAGCTGGTGTCACGGGTGCACAGCTCGAAAAGCCATACTGGTTGATCCAACACGTTGGAAGAGAGCGTCTTCACAAAGCAGTGAAGTGTAGTGGTGGACTGGACAAGGATACTTGGAACGATACTCACCCTGGTGCAGGCCGTGCTTGCTGTTCTGCTCTTGAAGCAACCGAATGTGATCTTTCAGAGATGCAACCTCCGCAGAGTGTGCGTCCACGAGGCTTGCAACTTGTGCTTCGTGCGACGATCTCAAGGCGGCGAACTGAGATTGTAGGACTGAGTTTTTCTGATTCTGTGTGGCAATGATCGCTTTTAGCTCGTCGATCTGGTTGCTACGCGTCGATGAATTGGTTGCAGTAGACGCCTGGGTATAGTTAGTATTTGGATGCAATACATGCTGGGCAACTAAAACGGCCCGAATTGGCCATTACGAGGCAGAGAAAGAGGCATGGCGATGAGACTAGTGGTGACGGTTTGTGTGCAAGTGCCGCCCGCGCAACGTGAGAATGTGAAACCTGACACCACCACTATTCGCCTGCCAGGCCTCCGATCCGCGGATACAACAATACATTGCCAGCGAGCAGCCAGAAGCCATGGCCTGACGGCAGAGAAGTACATCTAACTCAGGCACACATCGTCGCATCAGAGTTGGAGATGGTACACAAAGAAGTTCTGAAACTGTTTCGTTATGCAGTCTTCTTGTTTGTCCAGTAAATACGCCTCTATCAAGAAACAAACAGCACTCACTTCATTTTGACTGTTGCGTCGGCGCTTTTCGGTATCCCGATCACGTACTTTCTTCTCTTGGACCTGCCGCATCTGACTAGAACCATGCCTGCCACTTCTGTTTGTCGAAACCTTTCCGTCCATGGCAGAGAGCGCAGTAATCAGGTCCGGTCTCGAACGTCTCCGCATTCCGGTTTTGTTCAAACACTTGTCATCCAATGCCGCTGGTAGACCGGCTTGGGCCATAACACGTGAATCAAGTGCATCGCCGATAGGAACGTTTCTCATGATGCTATACCGCGAGCTTAGTTCTGGAACGCTTCTCGTATGATTCAATGGTGACGAGACCAAATCCAATGCATTCAAGCATGTACTCCCGTGGCTCAAGCGCTTGTCAAGTGGGTAACTCTCCCTTCGAAAGAGCTGGATTGTGGGTTGGACGGACACTGGAGTCGTACAGGATGGAAACCCTTGATTCTCTAAGAGAAGAGAACCAGGGAGCTCAGCGGGTAGTTCTGCAATCGATGGTACCGAGGCGGACCGTGGGCGACTGGGCAGAGGCTTTTCTATGGAGGCAGATCTCGAGCATGCAATCGTACTGGGCACCGGAGAGCGCAACATGTCGCTAGACGCAGTCTGGAGGGTCGTGACAGTCTTGAACACGGCTGTATCGTACTGGGGTGTGATAGGACTGGATACATGTTGTCTGTCGTCCGATGGAAAGATGACGAGGTTAGTTGAACGTCGTTTTTCAACTTTCAGCGTAGTCTGGAAGAGATGATTAGCGAATGGTAAGGCACCACAAGACAGCTGCAGACACCGACTTCCAGACGGTCGCTGACATTGGTGTACGGGTCGTCTCGTTGTGCATAAGATGTCGTTGTCTTTGGCAGCGCACTGACATGGTTCTGTGCCTGTTATCGTACCTTTGCTTCAACGTCGGTGTTGGACTCGGGCTCAATCGACTCAATCGATAGCAACCCCCCAGTGCGATAGTAGGGCTCTGAACTAGACTGGCGTTTTGACCAGGAAAGGATTCGCTTGGACGGCATTGCGCGATCGTTGCGCACGCCGCACTCAGTGGCAGCAATACAGCGGAGGCATGAAGATAGGATGGAAACTACAGGCGCTCGGGCTACGATATGGTGCGAAGAGAGAGAGATAGGCGGAAAGGCAATCGCCAGAGAGTTTGCGGGCACTGGGACGATGGTTTGGCTACGTTTGCAAGGCGCCCATCTTGGCCGCCTTCATAACGCCCGCTGTCATGTTTCGGGGCTGCAAACCACGCCGTACCTGTCTGGATCCGGCTGAAGACGCTGCTGCAGGGGCCAAATGGGCCGACTGGGTGGGAGAGAAACACAAGCTCCTTGCATATCGTATACATAGGCGCCTTGGAGTGGATAGTGGCGCCGCCGTGTACATGCAGCGAATAGACGAGATGAAGATGAGGCGCGGTAGCGCGACGCCGTGACGAAGTTGCAGGAAGCTTGGGCCTCTGGGGAAGTCGCGACCGACAGCTTCAATCGCTAACCGGCTATTGCGTACTAGTCACATTCCTTTCTGCTTCTTTGCGCAGCCCACTACTAATTACGGTGTAATGGTCTAGCCGGCTACCACCGCAGTGCAGGCGACTTGGCATCGCCCCCAGGAAGCCCGTTGACGTTGGCTGTATCCACCAGCCACTAGAGAAAAAGTTGGGATCGTCATTGCGCCCCCAATCTCGACACCGCGACTGCGCCCCAGTGCTCAGCAATCGGGCCCGATATGGCGAGAGACCTGTCGCCCTACAGCGCGCGACGGCTGCTTACGCAACAGCTAGTCCAAGGCCAGACTGCCTCGCCCCCGGCAGTCGAGGGCAGGAACGGAAGCCCGAGCAGGTTGTCGAGACATGTATCCGAACGCGTTGGGAAGGAGCCTTCGATAGCATCTGGTCGCCGCTCGAGAAGTCGATCGAGAGAGAGGAAGCCCGAGGACGTACCGAACGCCCGTGAGCCAAAGGCCACGACAGTCGAGCCAAGCGCTGTCCGCAGGCGGGAACGGTCGCCGGAACCATACAGGAAGCCACGAGGCTCCTCCAGAGAGAAGAAGAGCGATGGATCAAGAGAGCGGAGGAAGGACCGATCCAGAGACAGGCGACGAGACCGGTCACGCGACAAGAGGCGAGAAAGATCGGGCGACAGAAAGAGAGATCGCTCGAGGGACAGAAGGCGCGATCGCTCCCACGACAAGGACGGAGACAGGAACAGAAAGCGCGATCGCTCTACGGACAGACACGGCCGGCGAGATCGCTCGCGGTCCAGAGAGCGACGCCGCCGCGACAAGTCCAAAGAGGGCAGACGTTCACGCTCGCCCATACCGTACCGTTCTCGCAAACCGCGCACCCGCTCGCCCTCTGCATCCACATCTCCACCGCCCAAACGTCACCGGCGCACACGCTCTCCATCGCCTTCGCGCTCACCGCCGCCCCACAAGCGGGCCAAACAACCGCTACCTTCACAAGAAGTCTCCTTCCGGGGGCTTGACGACTCGGCCCAACCACCCTCCAAGTATGGCGGCGCACCGCCTGACAAGGAGAAGCCCAACTTCAAGCCTACTGGCGCGCTAGCCAAAGCTGCCAACCGCGTAGAAGGCACCAAGATCTCCCTCAAGTACCACGAGCCGCCCGAGGCACGCAAACCGCCCGCTTCACAACCCTGGCGCATCTTCGTGTTCAAGGGCGACGATGTGCTAGAGACCATCGAACTCTGGAACAAGAGCTGCTGGCTACTGGGACGATCTCGGGAAGTCGCCGATTACGTTCTCGACCACCCTAGCTCAAGTGGACAGCACGCAGTCATCCAGTTTCGGTACATACAAAAGACGGTGGAAGACGAATTCGGTGTCAAGAGCCACAAGGGAAAAGTCAAGCCCTACATCATTGACCTGGAAAGCAGTAATGGCACAGAGCTCAACGGAGAGGATCTCGAGGCGAGTCGCTACTTTGAGCTGAGGGACAAGGACATACTCAAATTTGGAGGCAGTGAGAGGGAGTACGTCGTCATGCTGCCACCAGCAGAGTCTAAGTAGGAAGGAATGAACATAGCAGAAGCCACAGACGACCATTGCGCAGTTGCAATAACAATTGCGGGTGTCACATACAAATCTCTCGCTGTCATAGAAGCTGAGTCCAGATGTACATAATAGAGAAAGAAAAAACATGTCAAATCATACGTGGATGAACATCACCAAGGGGGTGGGTTGTGTCGCTATGTATCGAAGATGAAGCTAACATTGCCATTATGTCTCGAATATGCTCCAAACATCATCAGTGGCCTTGGACAGAATGTATCTGAGGCATGTTGACGTTGAGGTACGCGATCCCCTTGATAAGTTTCGTGTTAAATCAAGGTACGCGCCGAGTAGGTGAATATGATGACCGTACTAAAGCTTCCTCGGGCTAGCTATCGTGCTCCGAACTCAGCATCCTCGGATCGCATTCTATTCTCCGTCGCACTTGTCTTGATGATGCAATGATGGGCGTCCGGACGTGGAGAGCGGCGCGTAATCAGGTACAGGGTCCAGTGTACGACAAGGATGCCGCCTCCCGACTTGGCAGGAACCGCCGTCATCAGCCTCCCCACAGTTCGTAATGCGCAGACATCGTCTTGCGCGTCCGTCTTCTTCCCTTCTTTATACCCCTTTTTACTTAATTCTTGTAATACACCATGGCGCTTTTGCGACGCTATGGGCTATACACCGTCCTCGCCGTGGGCTTCCTGTACATGCTTTGGTCCCTCAGCTTTCCATACGAGCAGCCTGGCGACGCGCCTGTAAACGCCGACAAAGGCCCGGAGAGCCAGCAAAGCCAACAACCAAAGAAAGAGCAAAAGTACAAGTCTTTCGATTGGACAAAGGTCCCCTTCAAAAACCGCATCGAGTCCCTCGTTCCACTACCAGCCGGCGAACCGAAAGCCTTACCACCCATACAATTCAACTTTGGACAAGAAGATGCTACGGCCAAGAACATACGCGAGACGAGGAAGGAAGAGGTTAAGAAACAATTCCTGAAATGCTGGAAGAGTTACAGAAGCCACGCATGGATGCACGACGAAGTCCGACCTATAAGCGGAGAGGCAGCGGATCACTTTGGAGGCTGGGCGGCCACCCTCATCGACGCGCTCGACACACTATACATAATGGGCTTTGAAGAGGAGTTCTCGTCCGCCATCAAGGATATCGAACAAATCGACTTTGGATACACCGATTTGGACCACATCAATGTGTTCGAGACGAACATACGGCATTTGGGTGGTCTTCTGGCAGCTTTCGAGCTTAGCGGGGACCAGAGGTTATTGAACAAGGCGAAGGAGGCGGGCGAGATGCTATACCATGCATTCGACACACCAAACCACCTACCAATCACGCGATGGCAATTCCGTGCAGCGGGCGAGGGCAAACCACAGGTAGCGGACGAGCAGGTCCTCCTTGCGGAGATCGGAAGTCTGACCATGGAGTTCACACGCCTCTCGCAATTGACCGGGGACCCGAAATGGTACGACGCGGTCAACAGGGTAACCAGACTTCTCGAAGAACAGCAGGACAAGACCAAGCTACCGGGCATGTGGCCTCTCATTGTCAACGCTCGAACTGCGGACTTCACTGCTGACAGTGGGTTCACCCTGGGGAGTATGGCTGATTCAACGTACGAGTATATTGGCAAGCAATATGCGCTGCTCGGTGGTCAAGACGCCATCTATCGCAAGATGTACGAGAGAGCGATGGACACGGCATCCAAATATGCCTTGTTCAGGCCATCAACCCCAGAGAACTCCGACATGCTCATGTCAGGATTTGTCCGTGCCGAAGGTGCGACAACGGCGTTGGACCCAGAGATGCAACACTTGGCATGCTACACAGGTGGCATGTTTGCCCTCGGCGGAAAGCTATTCCAGAACGACGAACATGTCACGATCGGTCGGAAGTTGGCAGACACTTGTGTTTGGGCCTACAAGGCATCGCCCGCAGGTATCATGCCGGAAGTATCGCATCTCCTCATGTGCGACAATACGACAACCTGCGTATGGGACGAGAAAGCATGGCTCGATGGTATACTATCCCGGACATCTAATGCTGCGGACGAAAAGGATCCGTTGAAGAACATTGCGAACCTCCGCCTCCCCAGCGGCTTCATCAGTGTCGATGATAGAAGGTACATTCTCAGGCCGGAGGCTATCGAGAGTGTCTTCATCATGCACCGCATCACAGGGGAGCAGCAATGGCAAGCTGCTGCATGGGATATGTGGACGGCT